GGTCTCCCTCTCAAACCCATGAGCTCAAGTGATCTGCCTGCCTCGGCCTTCCAACTGCTAGGATTACGGGTGTTAGCCACCACACCTGGCTGGCAGAGATTTTTTTTAATGAAAAAAAGCACTAGACATAAGGAAATCCAAAAAACAAAATAATTAATCAAAAGCAAATTTTATAATTCAGAAAAGCAAATAATTTATGGGGAAGACACCTTTAAGAGATTGCCATATGATATAAAGTAAAAGTAAAGAATTAAACATATAAAAAAGATATTAAATATTGAGCACAAAGGAAAAAGACTCAATATAAGCAGCATAGGTGATTTTCAGTATCATAAATTGTTTTTGATTTTTTTTTGAGACAACGTCTCACTTGGTTGTCCCCTGGTCGAGTGCCTTGGCATCATAGATCACAGCAACCTCAGATTCTTGGGTTCAAGTTATTCTCTTGCCTCAGCCTCCCAAGCAGCTGGGACTACAGGTGCCCACCACAACATCCAGCTATTTTTAGAGCCAGGGTTTTTGCTCTAGCTCAGGCTGATCTCACACTCGTGAGCTCAGGCCATCCACCCACCTCACCGTCCCAGAGTGCTGGGATTACAGACATGTATCCACTGTGTCCAGCCCCATTTGTTTTAATTACAGTTGCTGCCTAAGCATCCATTTTTAGAAACCCAGTTGTACTCCATCACTTATGGCTCAGTTAAAAATTCTTTTCTTCATGGGGTTATGTGTGATACAGTCCACTTGTTCCTTATAGCACTGACCCAAACCCAACACACTCACACCACTATCTATCATAAACCTAATATTCAGCACCGGAATCATATAAAATCAATAAATTCCTACCTTCACATGTGTTTTTTTAAACCTAGCCAATCTGCAGACTCCACAGGGAAGACTTAGTCATGAAGCCCATGGGCCTTAATAAGAGCAAAGTCCCCCAAGTCCTCTCCCTCTCTTTTCCCTCTATCATCCTTTATCCCAGTCCTCTTCTTTTCCCCTCACACTTTATCTCTCTCCCCACCATTTAATGGAACTCCCTGTCATATCTGGACATTCCACTGGCCTCCCACCAGTACCCCTACTTCTCTGGGACTTATGATTAATTTTGTTTCCATTTTATGCATTTTAGTTTCATTTTCCCATTGTGTCTCACCTGACACGTACACCCAAATTAACATTCCCCACTCAGTGCTCTCCTAGAGAGTGACTATCTTGGCTTATAGTCACTCTGGACAGAGAAACCTCAAGACTAAATTAGAAAGAAATCATAATAATAAAAATCACAATACCCAGGAAAAAAACTGAACAAATAGAAAAGTAAAACCAAAGACATAATTGAAGAAAAATACTTCATCCAAGTAAAATGTTTTCATCTACAAATCAAGAAAAACTCACCATATTCTAGGAAAAACTAGTTTTGAAAGAAAATCCAACATAACAGAAAAAAAGTGAAATCTAAAGTTTAAAAAAAAAAAATTGCAAATCTCTGGAAGTTCTCAAAACCTGCTTCAGGCTCGGCGCCTGTGGCTCAAGCGGCTAAGGCACCAGCCACATA